GGGCAATGGTTGTGGCAGTGGCTCGTCGAAGCGGAATCCACCAGGACCAGAATGTATTCGTGGCCCCATGCAGACTTTGGCAGGGGCCCCACGATGTCCATCCCAATGCGTGAGAATGACACCTCTATTACCGGTAGTGGAATTAGGGGGGCAGGGGCAGGTTTCTGGGGTGCAGTACGTTGGCATATTGCACAGGCTTGGCAGAACCGCCGCACTTCTTTTTTTTTTTGCCTGGGGCTTGGACCTGCAGGTCATGGTGCAAAATGCACCCTGTCATCCAGGCTTGGGTTTCCGGGGGATTTGGGTCAGTTGGCATGGGCTCATCCTGGCCTGGCGCTCGTGCAGGGCTCCCCAGGCTCACCGACTTGTGGGCCACACTCACCCCTCGCCGCTCCCCGGTACCCCTCCGGAGAAATGAAGTAGCTCTTTCTCGCTGACCTTTTCGATTACCCCCGTCACCGAGACATCATCTGTCAACAACTAAAGCTTCACCAGTCGGGTCAGTTGAGCTGCTTGCATGCGGATGGGTACCCGTGCATCATACACCCAGTCATGGACCTTTTGAGCAGCACACAACGGTGAGAGTCCTACCTGAGCCAAGATCTCTTTTTTTAGAAAATCATAGTCATCCCGGTGGGGTATTGGAAGGGAGAAATAAACCCGTTGGGGTTCCCCAGTGAGAAGGGGTGCTAACTTCTGAACCCATTCAGATTTTTCCCAGCCTCCTCTCCTTGCGACCACCTCAAATGTATGCAAAAACGCTTCGGGATCATCTTGCTCAGTCATCCTTGGAAGTGATGTGGGTTGGGCTGTGGGTCTGGCCTCTGTCAAGAGGGCTCTGGAGTAGTCTGCACGAAGACGCATCAGTTCCTCAGCTACCTGATTTTGCCCCGCAACAAGCCGTTCTGCTAATTGCTGCTGCCGCACCGACACTTCAGCAAGATGACGGATTACCTCCCCCACACTGGGAACAGAGGCTGCCTCGCTGGGTTCCTCGTGCGCGCATTCTCCACCAATGTCGCACTCCACTACGGGAAAAGAGGAGAACCGACAGGAAATGCAGTGAAGCGCCACTCTGAAAGGTGTCTTTATTCAAGCAGTGCAAATTTTAGGTGCAATCAAACTCAGTCTCTGTGTCTCGTGCAGGTGAAGAATTATGGGGAGAGTAGAGCAGTTCCTCCTGGCTCAGCAGTGAGAGAGGGGGAAAGTTAGCCAAATAGGTGGAGGCTCCACCCTCGCTTGAGGCAGTCAGTCGCTTTCTAGATAAAGAAAAGACACAGAGGTTAGCCATGCACCCACTGAGAGTCCATACTACTCCCCTTTCCTCTTCCTTGCTGGCGTTTATATTTCCCTCTAAGTGATTGCCTCATTGTCGTCAGCTGGGATCGCGTTAATTAGCGTTGCCAGGGGTGACGAGTGGGGAGCAAGCACTATCTCATCACAATATATATAGTGGCGTTCCGTCCATATAAGCTGTGAATGCGCCACATACCCAGGCCATCTGAGAGAATGAGTTCACGGGCTAATTATATACATGATTATAAGTTGATCCCTTGTCATTTGAAATGTGACTTAAAGCTTAAAAAATGGTTGGGAATAAGCATGTAAAATTATTTATTTAAAAACAACCGTAATTTCCTTCTACGTCAGTGATGAAAGTGATGAAAAATGCGCTGTTGCTGCCAGATCTCGATTGCCGAAAATTACACTGTGTTTGATGCAAAACTAACTCGACTAAATCATATGAAGAAAAAAAAAACGTCATAACTGTATATTTTCATGCTTTCTCAAGCAAAGCAAATTTTGAAAGTCCACTAAAAACATATCTGGTCATAGACAATGTTGAAGACGTTATTGTCAACATACCTAACTGGTAAATAATAAAAAAAGATTTATAAAAATGTATATACAATTTTGAACAATAACAAACATTAGGAAAAAATAGGAAACAATACCTTTGTTTTCCGTATAATTGTGTCGCTTACAGTTAAAGTTCTTTATTGTTGTTTGCAACGTTACTTGGCAATATTTTAAAGATATAATTTTTTTTGCGTTTTGCATGGATAATAGATTATTTAAATTTCTGTATATTTCTGCTGAAGGGCACAGGTAAATATGAAATTTATTATAATGGGTTTATGTGAAGATTGTTTTAAGTTCACTTAAATTAGAAGTTTTTTTTTTTTTAAGTCTAATAAATGTTAAAATTGATAGTTCTCAGATATACTGTAATGTTGAATGCCTATAGTCAATGGTTAAATATTGTTAAATACTCTATTTTTATAGAGAAATCAGTATTGGTATCATTGATACTGGCCTTCAGTCATAAAAAAAAGATGCCATTAAACAAATATTTAAAAATATACCGTCTTTATGATGTTTCTACATTAATTTGAAGATTAAATGTGAAATAATTGCAATATAAAAGCATATTTAAAAACTTTAATGTTAGGTGGGATTAATCGCGATTAATTTTAGAAAAATGTGCGATTAATTCGTAATTTTTTTTTAATCGATTGACAGCACTAATATATATTATATATACCCTTTCAGTCATCTTAAAAAAAGTGTTGAAAATTAGCAGTCTTTCATGTTAAATTTAATCTTCATATTACAACAATTAAAAAAAAACATTTTATTTAAAGCATCAACAGCAACACTAATAGTAACATTAAGCAAAATAAATGTAGAAGGTCTAATGTTTTCAAATGGAGAAAATAAAGGAAAGGAGTCATATCAACTTCATTTTAAACTAAAGTTTTTGTAGGTTTATAAGCTGTTTAATAGGCTAAAGAGTGAAGAATAATTCACTGGATAATGTTAATTCACTGAATAATATTCTCTGGAATATTGAAATGTAACAAACAAAACATCGTATTTTATTGCATTTCTCAACTGGCATGTTATATCAGAATTACTAATAATGTTTTTGTCGTTCTAGATTATGAAATGCCTGCTGACAGCGCAGTTTATCCATGCATTTACACAAAACTATACTCAAACTGCGATCACTCGTGGAGATAATAAATTATTTCCATAGAGTTGCATCTATTTAGATGTTTATTAGCAAAATAATAGTTATATAGTAAATGTTAAAACAATTTAGGGTGTTTTAAACAAGTGAATCTTGTTAAAAGTTACATGCGGTGGCAGTGCTGGAGCATTTCCTGAGCATCAACCTGCTAAGTGAACAGCTATATGAAAGCGGCTTCACGAGACTAATGATGAGCATAGACAACAGAGAGCGAATTAAATTCAGCACTTTTATTTCCAACATGCGCCCATTCATGGTTGCATATTTAATTCACGCAAAGTTACGTCTCTATTGGGACAGGACTTGACGGATTATCTTACGTGACTCCGTGAGTTCGTCTCTATTTCTTCGAGCCAAGCTGCATAAACTGCATATCAGGCATTTATGTAATACATCTAATTTGTGCATTAATGGCTGTTATGTTAAATAAAGTTTACTAACTACAGTAAATCAAGTACCTGTGCACATCGCTGTTGTCGTCTTGTTTCCTCTCAGACGTGCTGCAATGGTGATCCTGCACGCAATTCTCAAAACATCCACAGGATGGCGGCGTTTATCGGTGAATCCGATAGTACAAAACCGATATCCGATTATTGTAAAATACTTAAATATCGGGAAAAATATTGGTGAATCGATATATCGGTCAATCTCTACCCAAAACCATTCAAGCTGGCAGTTATTAAGCCTCTTATTAAGAAACCACAACTAGATCCTAGTGAACTGGCGAATTACAGACCCATCTCAAATCTTCCTTTTATGTCTAAAATTTTTGAAAAAGTTGTGTCTGCTCAATTGTGCTTCTTCCTGCAAAAAAATTTCTCTGAAGAATTTCAGTCAGGTTTCAGGCCCCATCATAGCACAGAAACTGCACTTGTTAAAATTACAAATGACTTGTTTCTTGCGTCAGACCAAGGCTGTGTCTCATTGCTAGTTTTACTTGATCTTAGTGCTGCGTTCGACATGTTCATCGTCTGTTTGATTACGTCTTTAATTGATTTTTCCGTACATTTCTGCCATATGTACATTAACTGACAGTCACCAATGATAAGCTACCACTAAATATTGTAGAAACTTAATTTGCTGTAAAGTTGCAACAATTTGTATCGTGAAAAGCTCTATACAAATAAACTTGAATTGAATTGAATTAATAATAATTTGAACGGTTTGATGTGATATGAGCAAACCGATCTGTAGATTTAATCACCATTGGTAGCGAGATTTATGGTAATGCTTTTTTTCCTCAGTTGGTCAGAACAAATGTGGCAGACTTGTTACTTACTTGTTCAGATGACAATATATGGTGCAAATTCTTATTTGGGTCATATTCCAAGACGTAGGCTAGAATCTGTGATTCTGAAGTACAGTAAATATCCACACGGGTGCGGTGACTGATTGCCACACATACTCTTCAGAACATTAGATTCATCCGCGCTGGAGCCGAGCCGGAGCACAACCCCAAGCAAAGAAGATAATTCCGCACCCAGTTGCAATTGCAGGTTTTCAAACAGAGATGGCAACAAAGAGGCAAAACTCATGGACTGCAGCTTTAAGTAATCTTTTGTGGGTATTTTCACAGTCAAATTTATTTTGCAATTAATTAATCAAAACATCATGTAATTAATTAGATTAAAGATTTTAATCAACTGACAGCCCTAATGTATATATGTACATATATATGGATCACTGGTGCTCCACTGTAGGTTAACAGGTTAACTTTTCTGCTTGACACATTCTGCTAACTGCTAATCAATGTGATTCTGTATCTGTTCATGTAATTGTGACTGTTAAAATTCTGTGTACTCTAAAAATGTTCATGTTTTTTTCCTATACCCTCTATGTTTGGCAATGAATTAAATGTTTAATACTCATTTATTTTTTGTAACGATTACTCTCAGCCAAGATATTGATCTAAAGTGGTTAGTCTTTTCTCCAACTGAGTAAGTGAAGACAATGAAGGACTCTTCACCTTTATGGCCTGCAGCTCTTTTCCTTTGTCTTTTTCTTCTCTAATTTTCTGACGCCCATCATCTTAGGGAGAGGGGGGGGAGAGAGAGAGAGGGAGAGTACAGTACGGCAGAGTATCTGTACACAGTGTCAGATAAGAAACTGAGAAGCACGTTGACCAGATACAGACTCAGCGGACACAAGTTGATGATAGAGACGGGCAGACACAGAAAAACTGTGAGAAGGTTTGAGTGTTGACCAGGTTTGTTGATGTTTACGCCAAGGCTGCGTAAGCGTAAGATTAATTAGCTTGCATCATACGCACTTACATTTTAAAAGTCTTTTTGTTTCCTAAAACTGTGCAACATTTATTTATCAATATCTAACAGATTATTATATAGACTTATTGGACAGGAAAAGCATTTTGTTTGGTTTAGGAAAAATAATTAGTCACATTATAGTCAAAATGCAATCATTAAAACACGGCTAATCAATGTAATTAGAGCATTACATGTGCAATAATATTACCCCGCGGGATATTATTGCACATATAATGTTATATTAGTTACGGAGTTTGCGCTGGAGTTTTAATAATATCGTTTAACTCTCACACTGAACAGAGAATGGCCTGCTCTCTCCAATAAACACAAGCTTTAGAAACCAGAAAATGACTATAACGACTAAAATCAAGTTATTAGGAACATGCTCAACGGTACTGTGATTAAAACAGTAGAAATTAGATGCTTTTATTTACCCTAAAAGATCAAAGTCAAGTCGCTTACGAAGCCTGTGTGTTTCACTGAGCCGCCATTATGTTTGGCGTCAACATATGACGGACTTCCGGTGGGGGATTATGGGAAATGTAGTCTAAAAGCCCTTTATTATTGACGACGACGACGACGATGATAATAATTATAATTTTTTATAAATTTGTTTTTACATAAACTAAATTTGGTAACGTTTAAAATTATGAATTGAAAGTAGTTTGCGTTAACAGTGCTTGACTGATAGGCTTAATCAAAAATAATTTTAGAAATCTATTAAATTTCTATAACAACAACAACAACAACAATAATAATAATAATAATATAGATAATGGTTCCTGAAATACTATGAGCTTTTTACTTTATCCCAACACATTGTCAGCAAGATGTGATTTTATTTTTTATTTCGTTTTGTATAAATAAACTAGGCACAATTTTGTATCATAGTAGTTTACGTTCATTTTTAGTTACCAGTGCTTGACCGATTACTTTGGATGAGTGAAAGGTTTACTTTGAAAATAGCCTGAAATGTCGATTGTTTTTATTATTATTTATTTACATGGTTTTTAATGACAAAAATACATAATTATGTGACAAATATTTGAGTTATAACTATATAAAATATACATATACATATATGTACAGGCGATAGGTATGTTCATGTGAAAGTTAGAGAAAATCAACATGAAAGGCGTCTATTGTACAAACGCTATTCAGGGCTTGGCCACAGCGCAGATCATTTTAACAACTGCTTATTCTGGAAATGTGCGCGCTTTAGTAAACGGTGCTCTGTTGCTGGCAATGACAGGCTATATGGCCAGCGGCGGGGGCGCTGAAGCGCACTCGGACAGTCCACTATGGAAGGAGAGCAGGATGAGGGGAGATCGTGGACATGAGCGCGAGAGCAGCACGCGGATCGGGATGCGGAGTGAGGACGAGAGACTCCAGACTTTCCAAAACTGGCCCACAGACGCGCCCGTGAGTCCTGCGGAGCTGGCCCGGGCTGGCTTTCACTACCTGGGCTCCAGTGACACGGTGCAGTGCTTCTGCTGCGATGGGATCCTGAGGCACTGGGTTCACGGAGACACTCCGCGGGGGGAGCATGAGAGGCACTTCCCCGCGTGCGGCTTGATGATGGGCAGGGATGTGGGCAATGTTCCGCTGGGCTCGTCTGACTCTGTGGACGGGCAGCTCTTGAGTCAGCTGCAGCGGCTGACCGTGGATGAGCAGGTGTTGCCTGGACAGGCGGTGTGCCCAGAGATGGAGTCGGAGGACAGCAGACTGGCCTCTTACCAGAACTGGCCCCCGGGAGCATCGGTGCAGCCAGACGCGCTGGCGCAGGCGGGCTTCTTCTACACAGGTGCGTCCCAGACTACAGCGAGGATACAAGTTGTTTTGAGATTCCACACGAAATTATGATTTTATGGGATTTTGTGTGGTTCCCACTGGGCGCGGAAGAGAAACTTTCTTGCTTCTGTTTTGTGCAACCACAATCACGCGCCGGCAGTCACGCGCAGTGTGAATGAACGGAATGAACGAGAGAGCGCGCGAGCTGCGCCTGCCGCTTATTATTACGATGATATGCATTCACAAATTGCGTATCAATTGCTCTCATTAAAGAACAATGCACATATGTTAACTTCTAAAGTGTCAAAATAAAACATAAAACAATCACGTTCATTTAGGCCTATAGAAAACGTTCTTTGAAAATGTAAATGCATTTAAAACGGACCTATTTAAATCAGGCTGTTTACTGTTGTGTTGGAACTTTATGAAAGTTGATTAGAAATGACTTAGAAAGAGGGGCGATTGTAGAATTTTCATTTTAGGGACGCTCAGCCCTCAATGAGGGTAGAATAATAATAAATAAATGTTTGACTAATAGGGTAGGATGGTATAGCCTAACATATTGCAGTATTACACTGCATTGCATAGATGGGTTAACATTCTAGTTCTGATTAAGCCAAAGTCTTCCTGATCTCTCTCTCTCTCACACACACACACACACACACACACACATGTTTACTGTACAAACCTAAAATTCTAGTACAAACCTCTTTCTTTACCTCATTTGCCACATGCACTGTAATATGTTTTACATTTAAAGTTACATTTTCAAATGAAAATAGCAACATGATCGCTTTACAAAGTAGGCTATAAAGCCCCTCTAAAATTGGCCTAGCGATGCCCATGCTTAGAATTTAGAAACTCGCAATTCTAGAGGGGAAAAAAGCCTTTTTGCAGGTTTAGATATATATATTCTGCACCGTATCTGTTAAATGTAATGTGTTTTTTAGAAGATGGTAATGATTGTACGATTCTTAGGTCATGACGACAATGTGAAGTGTTTCTTCTGTGATGGTGGTCTGAGGAACTGGGAACCGGGAGATGACCCCTGGCAGGAACACGCCAAATGGTTTCCTCAGTGAGTTTCTGCTTTTTTTAGACTGAAATGTCAGGCAGTAGGGGGATATGAAGCAACATACAGATGCTTAAAAAAGAATTTCAGCACAAAGGAAGGTTTCATTCCACAATAATACAAAGTAATCAGTGAATACTAAAGAGACATTTTGTACATTAAAATCGAAATAGTTTCATACCAAATCGATGTTGTTTTGGTGTTGTTAGTGCATGTGTACTCATTAATAATATTGTCTATGTGCTTCCAAAGATGTGAATATTTGCTTCAATCCAGAGGACGGGAATATGTGAGCAATGTCCAGCAGTCTTACTTCAACATGAATGAGAGCATGGTAAGTAATAATGCTGCACCTAATCATCAGTTCACGGTTCATTTAACAGCTATATTTGCAAGATTGCCATAGATTTGAAATGTTTTTCTTTGTTTTGAAGGGTGGATCTCCATCATCAACTGCAGGAAACATTACATCAGGCAAGTCAATCCAAAATAACTTTTTTAAAGGTGTAACAGTTCAGGGGTTTTTAAATGTTTAAATGAAACTATGGACTCCAAAAATGATGATCCCCATGCAAGGGGCTCCTCACCAAAATATAAAGAAAGACAGCTTTATTTTATATTTTGATGTATAGAGCAAATTATACTGTATAAAAAAGCATAAAATAGATCATATAAATACATTTTCAATTCATTTCAAATGTATTTGTGCAGCTTATTGCTTAAAAGTAGAGCCATGTAACTGGTAATAAAGAAAATTGGTACTTTTCACCACACTATATCCAGATATGTTTCTTACTTCTGTTAGAATACATTTAGTAATATTATTTTATGTCAAATTTTCCAAGGACCCATTAGCACTCCCCTGTGGCCCCTGGGGGCGTCTACAGGCCCCTGTTTGAAACCCCCTGACTTTGCATATTTCCTGCAATTCTTATGTCCTGTAAAATGTTCCATGTTTGTAGGTAGTGCTTGTGTTATATAGATAAACAGACTCTTATGTGTGCTTATTACACGGCTCTCTAGAATACTTTATTCTGATTGGTCACTCACAGTATTCAGCACTCTGTATATAATAACCATTGTCCATGACATGGAAATCAGTGATTCCTACATAGCTGTATGTGTATTCTGTCTCTGAAACAATAAAATAAACTCAAATCAGTATTTACTGTATTTATCTCTGGGGCAAGAAGCTGTGTAATAAGCAGGAAATATCAGGTTGCATTTTGTGCTGCCATGCATGTTATGTTCCTCAGGAGTTGTTATTATTATTATTCCAGCTCTCACAACTTATTTTCCACCCAGGCAAAGGACCTTCTCTTCTTCTCTTTCCTAACGAACTAACAATGATGATGATCGGTGTTACTCTAACTTGAAGTCTTTTGTGATGCAGTTTTGCCGTTTTAAATTAATGTGTGCTGCTGGTAAACCTGAACTGATTATTTGCGTAAATCACTGAATAAATTAGCTGCAGCAATATCTTGCTTTGCGTAACCCATCATACACACAAGCTCTTTTTATACTTCTACTTGTGAGGACCTAGAAAAGACTTTGTAGTTTCTAAATTAAGCAAATTACTACGCACTTAAAGGAAAAGTTTGCCCAAAAATTAACATTTGCTGAAAATGTACTCACTCTCAGGCCATCCAAGCTATAGATGAGTTTGTTTCTTCATGGGAACAGATATTGAGAAATGTAGCGTAACATCACTTGTTCACCAGTGGATCCTCTGCAGTGAATGGGTGCCGTCAGAATGAGAGTCCAAACAGCTGATAAAAACATCACATTGTTCCACAAGTAGTCCACATGACTCCAGTCCATCAATTAACGTCTACCGAAACTTCAAACCGTTCCAGCAAAAATAAAAGTCCTCTGTCTATAATATGGTTTTCTGCAGTGAAAAAGCTGTTTATAGATTCTCATTCTGACGGCACCCATTTACTGCATAGGATCTATCGGTGAGCAAGTGATGTAATGCTACATTTCTCCAAATCTGTTCCGTTCCCAACTCATATACATCTTGGATAGCCTGAGGGTGAGTACATTTTAAGCAAATATTGATTTTTGTGTGAACTATTCCTTTAAAGCATTTGAATTAAAACCCATTAGGCCCATTTATGAACATTTTTACTAGTGATAACTTTCTCACTAAAAATGTTTTTTGCAAATGTGGCCCTCACAAGTGAAGTGCACAGTACCTCTTATGCATGCACTCATGTTCCTGTGTGCTGTCCCGCTGGCAGAGGTGCTGGGTGGGCAGAACTCAGTGGCGGCAGCCATGTTGTCCCCTGTGGTGCAGGCGGTGCTGCAGATGGGTTTCCAGCACTCACTAGTGGAGAGTCTGGTGCAGTCACACTACCTGCTCACCGGCTCACACTACACCTCAGTCTCTGACCTGGTGAGCGACGTCCTGCAGGCCGAGGAGGAGGAAAGGCAGACAGGGGAGCCCAGACCAGGTGTTTCCAAACCCTCTATCAGTATACAACAAACCTCAATTACGTAACCTAAAGTTTCCATCATTTAAAGCATGCTATTGACCATTGAATTTAACGCGGAGGAAAACAAGGGATAGACTTACAGTCTTTACACTGTCATGTTCTGTATAAAGTTTTCACAACTCACAACTTACTGTACTTACAGTTTTACTGTACAGAAAGTTTTTTTTTCCAGAAAGGTGTTTCATCAGCTGAACAATCTGTATGTTGTTAAAAGCAACAGTACAATCCATTGAACGCACTGTACTTCTATCCCTCACAGCTTCATTTTCATTCTGTCAAAAATGAAATATACGGTGCTACCCTGGCTAGATAAAGGAGATAGGCTATTTGAAGGGATATTTCACCCTAAAATTAAAATTCAGTTATTATTTACTCACTCAGGGTGTTGTTGGTGTCGCATGCCCTTCTTTTTTTTGGACCACAAAAGGAGAAATGAAAAATCCTGACCTGGGCTGTTTTTCATTTTACAGAGCTTTATTCCATGGAACTCCAACATTCTATTTTTTTGTGTTCCACAGAATAAAAACAGCCCAAGATTTGCGTCAACATTTTTTGCATTCCACTGCACTAATAAATTAACATTTGCTGAAAATGTACTCACTCTCAGGCCATCCAAGCTATAGATGAGTTTGTTTCTTCATGGGAACAGATATTGAGAAATGTAGCGTAACATCACTTGTTCACCAGTGGATCCTCTGCAGTGAATGGGTGCCGTCAGAATGAGAGTCCAAACAGCTGATAAAAACATCACATTGTTCCACAAGTAGTCCACATGACTCCAGTCCATCAATTAACGTCTACCGAAACTTCAAACCGTTCCAGCAAAAATAAAAGTCCTCTGTCTATAATATGGTTTTCTGCAGTGAAAAAGCTGTTTATAGATTCTCATTCTGACGGCACCCATTTACTGCATAGGATCTATCGGTGAGCAAGTGATGTAATGCTACATTTCTCCAAATCTGTTCCGTTCCCAACTCATATACATCTTGGATAGCCTGAGGGTGAGTACATTTTAAGCAAATATTGATTTTTGTGTGAACTATTCCTTTAAAGCATTTGAATTAAAACCCATTAGGCCCATTTATGAACATTTTTACTAGTGATAACTTTCTCACTAAAAATGTTTTTTGCAAATGTGGCCCTCACAAGTGAAGTGCACAGTACCTCTTATGCATGCACTCATGTTCCTGTGTGCTGTCCCGCTGGCAGAGGTGCTGGGTGGGCAGAACTCAGTGGCGGCAGCCATGTTGTCCCCTGTGGTGCAGGCGGTGCTGCAGATGGGTTTCCAGCACTCACTAGTGGAGAGTCTGGTGCAGTCACACTACCTGCTCACCGGCTCACACTACACCTCAGTCTCTGACCTGGTGAGCGACGTCCTGCAGGCCGAGGAGGAGGAAAGGCAGACAGGGGAGCCCAGACCAGGTGTTTCCAAACCCTCTATCAGTATACAACAAACCTCAATTACGTAACCTAAAGTTTCCATCATTTAAAGCATGCTATTGACCATTGAATTTAACGCGGAGGAAAACAAGGGATAGACTTACAGTCTTTACACTGTCATGTTCTGTATAAAGTTTTCACAACTCACAACTTACTGTACTTACAGTTTTACTGTACAGAAAGTTTTTTTTCCAGAAAGGTGTTTCATCAGCTGAACAATCTGTATGTTGTTAAAAACAACAGTACAATCCATTGAACGCACTGTACTTCTATCCCTCACAGCTTCATTTTCATTCTGTCAAAAATGAAATATACGGTGCTACCCTGGCTAGATAAAGGAGATAGGCTATTTGAAGGGATATTTCACCCTAAAATTAAAATTCAGTTATTATTTACTCACTCAGGGTGTTGTTGGTGTCGCATGCCCTTCTTTTTTTTGGACCACAAAAGGAGAAATGAAAAATCCTGACCTGGGCTGTTTTTCATTTTACAGAGCTTTATTCCATGGAACTCCAACATTCTATTTTTTTGTGTTCCACAGAATAAAAACAGCCCAAGATTTGCATCAACATTTTTTGCATTCCACTGCACTAATTTTTTTTTTTGCTATTCCATATAAACAAAGACTAGATTAATGTATTTGACAATTTTGTTGCTATGCACCTCACTGCCTTTTCTTGCATGAACGACATGTTTTTAATTTGCCATCAACGACATCAAATTAAAATAAGTTTTAAATACATTTGACAACCTGCATACTTTTCCATCCTCTTGGGTCTCGCGCTTGTAGATGTGTTTTGTCACTTATGGATTAGTAAATAATGACATACTTAAAATTTGTGAACTTGTCTTTTAATTTTCTGATAATGTGTGCCATTCATTCCTCTAACATGTGGATGGTTTGTTCCCTCAGAGACTGTGGGGAGGCAGAGAACACCAAGAACGCAGGTCTCAGACAGGGAGAAAGGTTCATATTAACACGCTCTTGTTGCACTTATAATGTGTGTGTGTGTGTGTGTGTGTGTGTTTAGGTATATCTTAATCTTCTCTCCATCTAGTAGCCTCTGGGATGACACAGATCATACTATCAATCATCTCAACTGACCCAGACTGATCTGAAATGTCCTAACTTGTGCATTTGTGTGTGTTTTTCAGTGCGATCAGACCTGAGTCCAGAGGAACAGCTGCGACAGCTTCAGGAAGAGAGGACCTGTAAAGTCTGCATGGACAAACTCGTCTCTATGGTCTTCATCCCCTGTGGCCACCTGGTCGTCTGCACTGACTGCGCAGCCAGTCTGCGCCACTGCCCCATATGCAGGGCAGTCATCCGGGGGAGTGTGCGAGCATTCATGTCATGAAGCGCAAACACACGTTCATACACAGCGACATACTGTTGCACAACAGTGTCATTAGCAAGAATTGTACTGCACTCGGGATATATAGTGAAAAAATACTCAAATGTTATAAATAGCTTCCAAATCAGCATCAGTGCTCTGACACAAAGACATATTGCTTGATATTTGGCTATACATAAAAGCTACAGGGGTCCAAAAGTCCACTTCACATGTGTGTAATAGTAATATAAGTTTAAATAGCATTATTTATATATCAGTTTTATTTAGATGCTTTGTTGCTTGAAATATTAACATTAATTTCAGAATGTCATGTATAGTAATTTGGGTTTCCCCGAATTTTATGACAGCAGCACATTTAATGACAGCAGCACTTTAGCTGCAAGAACATCTGATCATCTGTACAAAAAGCATATCTGTACATAAAGCAGGATATTAATGATGTAAAAAAAAAATCATAAAAAAACATAGTTAATTTCCAGGTTTAAATCCCAGATTTCTTATGTGGACTTTTGGACCCTACAGTACTTTAAAATGTTTTGCATGCTTGTAAGTTCTGGACAAAACCAAAGTTGATTTTGTGTCATGCCAAAGTGAACAGCTTTTTGTACATTTTAAATCTTAAAAAAAATATATAAAATTAATTTTCAGATGGCAGTTTATAAGAGACTATATTGTAGAATAATATTTTATTATTACTGTATTAACATTGCACTTCTATTTTCATTAATAAAATAATTTGCATTGCACATCTTTGTCAAAGCTCTGCTTCTGTTATGTTAAAGCAGCACTAAGTAACTTTTGGCGCTCTAGCGGTTAATAAACAGAACTGCACACATCCCGCGGAAGAACATTCCAACCGGAGCTACTTCTCTAAGTTTATGTCTATGGCGTTTCACGCAGGTATGTGTTACTCCGCAGAGGCGACGACCCGACCCGGCTACAATAGTCCAAATATAAGTACTTATTATAAGTGTACCGTAGTGATTCGGAATAAGACAAAAACACGGTTTGGAAGATGAATTCATGATGTACTCGCTCATTATAAACATTTAGCAAATTTTTAACACAGAAAAAGTTACATAGTGCTGCTTTAACCCTCATACTGAGTTCCAGTTGTTTTGACCCCTAGAGGATTTTCTTTTTTGAAAATGATAATGTTTTCGCATTGGACTAACACCTACAGACTTTACTCGTAGAAGGTATAACAACCCCCCCACCCCTCCCCCCAAACAATATTGACAAAATTACAACAAAAAAAATTCACCCAAAACCTGAGGTGCATAAGCAAATCAGTTAATAAGCGTCTGAAAACAAATCAGCCAAATGTATATTTGATCTAATTGAATGACTATTATACATTGTTTAGTGTGATTTGAGTGTCCAATTACAGTGATTTGGGGTTCACTGCATATAAATAAAGTCTTAAAACAAAAACAAAAAAGACTAAAACTGAATTTGACAGTGAATTATGAGAATTGTACATCAAACTATGACACAAAACAACTCAGAAAAGCTATAATTGTTTCTTGTATTTATATTTTACACTTCCTTTGTTTCTATTAGTTTCTGTTCGATCTAAAGGCTGATACAAACACATTGTGCAATAAATGATGATTATTAACATTAAAAATACTGACAGCATGCACAGTAACCCCAAAACACTGAAAATGCACTAATTTCATTGCATTAGATGCAAATCAGTTAATAAGCATCTGAAAACAAATCAGCCAAATGTATATTTGATCTAATTGAATGACTATTATACATTGTTTAGTGTGATTTGAGTGTCCAATTACAGTGATTTGGGGTTCACTGCATATAAATAAAGTCTTAAAACAAAAACAAAAAAGACTAAAACTGAATTTGACAGTGAATTATGAGAATTGTACATCAAACTATGACACAAAACAACTCAGAAAAGCTATAATTGTTTCTTGTATTTATATTTTACACTTCCTTTGTTTCTATTTTTGACTGCCACAAGAGGTCAGCTTGCTTTGTCTTTTTTTTTTTTTAGGGCAGCACCCGTTTTCCTCGTCTCGGCTCCCTGCTCAGTTTTACTGTGCAAATCCTCCAGTGTGAAGGTAAACAGCACACAGTGGCCCTCCTCCACACACACACAAACAGAGCTGGAACTCGGTGAACCTCAACATCTGACCTCCCCTTGAATAACTCGCACGCATGGACCACACACCACACCAACAAAATACTGGGCCTTTTTGTTTGGATATGTTTTACATCCACTTGTAAGAGCGTCTAAATGAGGCAGCTGGAACAATGTGCCAGAGCGTCTGATGGAGCAGCTGTGTTTTGTCCAGAGCTGGGAGTCAGAGAGCCAATTCTCCAGTACTCCAGAAAGGGCTGATTTAGGGCGATTAGGAAGCGTTTTAAACAGAGGAGAGGCAGGAGGTGAGGAGCAGAGAGGACGAATGGGCAGAGCGGCTCTTCTTCACAACACACTTTCATTTACGAAGACCTGAAAAACACCAAAAGACAAAAATAAATGTTATTAGAGTCAACCGATATATCAGCTTAACAGATCATTTTGTCACTGATAGTTGCTTGCTGCTGATGGTTGTTATTTGGAGTGTTCAGGGATTCATTTTGTGTATCACTTCTTTCTTTTATGTTATTTTATTATGAGATTGTTACTTTAAGTGTTACTTTTTGGTTCAGTTAAAATGTATACACAACCTTTCAAATGCCTGGGGTCAATATGGTTAAAAAAATTAATCAATGTATACTTTTATTCAGCAAGGATTCATTAAATTAATCAAAGTTGACCATAAAAATATGACAAAATATTATAATTTTATATATATATATATATATTATAATTTTCAATTTTTATATCATAAATAAACAAACAAACAGTTTCTGCAAAAATACTTAGCAGCACAACTGTTTTCAAAATTGATATCAGTGTAGTAATGGCTGCTGAAAACTTTTCAGCAGCTTTTCATCACAGGAATTTTTTTTAAATATATAAAATAGACAGGTATTTTAAATAGTAATGATATTTCACAATATTACTGATTTACTGTATTTTTGATCAAATAAATGCTGCCTTGGTCTTATCATCCCTGATCCTTTGCTCATTAGTGTATCTAAACGTTTTATTTTATTTAATAATTACAAAACATGGATAAATCATTATTTGTTAAACGTGTAATAAAGTTTAGCACCATCCATTTTACATTAAGTGGACGTTTTCATTCATATTTTTGAAAATCATATTAACTATCAGCGTATTAATTGGTTTATTGGCCTGTTTTCCCACCTTAAATATTGGTATTAGCAAAATCCACACACACACACAGACACACAGACACACACGCACACACACACACACACACACACTAAATGAGGACTCTCCATAGGCGTAATGGTTTTTATACTGTACAAACCGTATATTCTATCGCTCTACACCAACCCTCC